GGGCCCGGAGCAAACGCCGCGGGAGGCACCGTCGGCAACGGCCTCCAGCAGCGCGTCGGGGGGAGATGTGCAAGGACCTGAGATGAAGAAGAACTCGGAGGATGCTATTAACTTGCATTGCCCCTTGCTCATGTAGATGATTGAATCCAAGAAAAAAAGTTTAGTTGCACCATGCGACAGTCCGTTTCTGAATATATCGTAACAGCCCTCTGGCAAGCTCAGTGGTCCATAAAAATGCATACCATGCTCATACCATTGAATAATGTAGATGATTGAATCCAAGAAAAAAAGTTTAGTTGCACCATGCGACAGTCCGTTTCTGAATATATCGTAACAGCCCTCTGGCAAGCTCAGTGGTCCATAAAAATGCACACCCTGCTCATACCATTGAATTGTTTTAGCCTTCAATAAATCATCTGTTGCAGCCTGGTGTACATTTTAAAGCATTTATTGCTAATGGATTTTCACAATGATGTGGTTTAAGGGATGTTATTATTAATGAATGTAACTTTGCTGAGTAGTAATTTGATAAAGATGAAAGAGGCATTTATGAATTCCACTGCCCTTTCAGCTGTTCCTAGGACTTTTCACTGCTTCAGAATATATTCCATTTAATCTTGATTTCTTTTTGTTAAGACTGGACTAGTACAATCAGACTCTATAGGAAAATCTTAGTGGATTTGGACCAGTCGTGCCGTCCTTAATGATGGTGAAAACCCAATTCTTCTCAGCCATATCAGTGAAATTTCTTTGCTGGGGGAGAAACCAGAACTGACCCCGGTATCCCATACTGCTACCCTTAGTACTAGCATATTAGGGTAAAGGGGGTTTGGGACTAGGGCAGAACTTTTTTTTTTGAGATGATTAATAGATATTTATATTGATGGAGACATGAAAAGAAACTAATTTGTCCGTTCTAGACAGCAACTTTTGCTAATGGACTATTCTTTATTACATGCTCCTTGCATTGACTGAAGTACTCCTTTGTGTATGAATTGACTGGGGACTTGATACTCGGGGGCTGAGCAGCGTGCACTAGCCCCCCGGCGCAGGAGCCGCGGAGGGTCCCAAGGCTGCTGCCTACCACTGAAACGGCTCCGTAACCACTGCGGCACGCAGCAATGGGACGTGCTGTGCGTCGCCTAGGGACTGCATCAGCAAACTGTCCAAGGGCTAAACGAGGGCCATCGTGAGGGGGACTGTTAGAAGAAAAACTGGAAAGCGTGTTCTTTTCTAAGGAGAGAGCCGTGCTTTACTAGGATCCGATCTGTGCAAAGATTGACGTCTTTAGCCCAGGAGGCAGGTATAAGCACGGGAAATAATTTGTTTGCAGAACTAGCAGAAAGTGTTCTCTTGAAAAATAAGGAGAAAAAAAGATTTTCTTTGTCTCGAGCGCCTGGTTAAAGATAAATCGCATCCACTTGCAGAAATAGAAAGGGCGAAAGGCCGGGCCGAGAGACAGGGGCTCTGCCCCTGCCTTGCTCCGCCGCCTGCCCTGGGACGTTGTGCAGCTCCTGCTCCCGTCTGCGGCTGTTTTACCTCCTGCCCTCTGCGTGTTTGCCGCCTTGTTAGCCCTTTTCAAGGGCAGACTTTCATACCTTGTGTCAGAACAGCCTGTAGCTTGTCCAGATGCCATGGTAATAGTAGCAAAACTAATTGTTCCTCTCTCAACTCATTCTCTTGCAAAGCTGCACATCCCTGTGGACAGACAGCTAAGGAGTTCATATATAAAGTGGCAATATGGGTCTGCCTCTGTTCTTAAGAATAAATCGGGGTAGCTTCAACGAAATTCAGTTTTTCAGGAATACAATGAGTATGTGAGGAACCAGGACGTTCTGTACAAAATATACAAGCACTACTTACAAAAAACTTTCTAATTCAAGACAAGAAAATGGTGTGATATCTTGGCTGCCTGCACCTTGTGCTAGACTTCTCCCTTGGGATGACTGTATTACATTATAATCATTCACTTTTTCTGGACTAATTTCCTTGCATAGTAGGCTATAAATAATCATTATTGGTATTGCAAGGTGGCTGTGAGTTCCTGAACATCCGTGACCAAATTCTTAATTTGTCAGTTACTGATACAATGCATCTGGTTTTCTAATTAATGACATTTTATATGCAAAGGAAAAAATACAACATTGCCTGTTCTTTTTCTTCCTAGATTCATGGACTAATTGGAGGATAGCCTACCTGTGGCTGCCTCTGCGTTTGTAAATCCTGCATCTGGACTTAGGTGACATTCAGGGGTAAGCATTTTGTTTATATCATTTAGCAATGTAAGACCCTCGCCCCCAGCTAGTCTCCGAAGACAATACCAATATGTTACCAGCATCCCATGGGGTGCATCTTATTACTGGAGGGAGATTCTCAGCAATGAAAATGCAGTTTTATCCTTCTCAAAGTGCCCCTTGCCAAAGTCAGCCAAGCATCCAGAAGCACTTACTCAGAGTGATGCATCATTAATACTGTGCTAACTCACTAAGCGTGCAAGCCAGGCACAGCCTGTCTGGAGGTTTCAATTTCCATCATGTCCAAGCATTGCTCCCCCCATTTCTTGGGGCCGAGCCCTGCCCTGACCGACATCCAGGCCTGGCAGCTCTAATTTCATGGAAGTCGATGGGCTTACAAAGGCAAGGTGTTGATTTAGGAGCACGGTGAATCAGACCTTTGTCCAGAGTCCCGCTGATTTCGGTGAAGGCAGATGTGGTTGGGGTCGCTGTTAGGTGACGGTCCCGAGAGCCAGTCGCTTTTGTAGTTTGCTCTCAGGTGCCCAACTCACTCACTGCGCTGCAGGAGGGCAGTGCCGCTACCTGATGTGGGAGGCTGAGCGCTGCTGGGTGACCCAAAACACAGATGTTGCCAAAGTGAGCTTATTTCCTCTTGCAAATTCAGTCTGAAGAGCTCGTGATGCTGCCCTGCTCTCCTCCTCTGCCTCTCCCGGAGGAGGAACGCTGGTCTTGACCACACACACACATGCTGTCGACGCAGGACCTCTGCCTTGAACTTTGCACCTTGGATCTTGGCTTTGTGAGCCCTCCGACAGCCCTTCTGCAGCTGTGTCAGGCCGTGCAGGCGCGGAGCTCTGCTGGAGGCGACGGGCATGGCGCTGGCCCTGGCCGTGTGAGTACGTCTCCTCGGCAAAGTCGAACAGGTAAGCACATGCCACCAGTGGCCTAAGGGATTTTGTGTGGCTTAGCACCAGCCTTGAGCAGGACAGAAGTGTGCGGGCAGCTGCCCTGGGCTCAGTGAGGCCAGGATCACCTGCAGCCCTTCCTAAGCTCTTTCACACAACATAAAAAGCCTTTTTTGGGATGTGCTGGCCCTGTCTAGCCGAAAGGCTGTGGAGTCAGCGCAGACAAGGCATGAAATGCTGTCTTTCTCATCTGGTTCCATTGATATGCCATGTTGTAATGGCTGAGATTGGCAAAGAGTTGCACACCCCACAAGCCAAATACCACGTTGTGGAACAGGGTTGTCTTGCTCCCCTGAGCTCCTTTGGTAATCCCAGCTGGAAAGACTTTCTGGGAGAGACAGAAATGCAGCCCCTGGGCTTTTGTTACTGAGTTTGGAGGCAAAACAAGCCTTGGCCATCCAGCCTGTGGCCTGTTTGACCAGTGCTACGTGCTTCTGAGGGTGCTCTGCTCCCTTTTCACTAGAAAGCAGTTTTGTGCTCAACAGGCAACAGACTTTTCTAGCATTTGCTCCTGTTCGCTGGTCTCCTCCGCTGCCTTCTCCTGCTCAGGGGGAGCAAAGGGGTGGTGCAGCCTGTGGGTTTTAACTGGACGCCGTCCCTTTAATGTGGAGTTGTGTTTTTCTTTCAATGCCAAAAATAAATGCTACTGAAGGAATAAACAGACGTGAAAAGAAGCCTCGGACACTTGGAAGACAAGACTGCTTTGTGTTTCCCAAAGCAATGAGCCTGCTCACAAGGAGGTTACTCTTCTAGAAAAACACATGAGCCGTGTGCCAGTGCCAAGGTCGGTAGGTGCCCAGCGGAGCAGGGGGCACGCGGGGCTGGCAGGGCCCGGGAGAGGGGCACGTTGTCCTCCTGTCCAAAGTGCTCTAAAGAGAGGGGAGAGGGAGAGGGGAGGAGAGAAATTTGTTTGGCTCTTCCATTTTGTCTCTTTCTGCTGGCTTTGAACACGCACCCATTCGTCACTGGAAAACGGCTTCCCTCTGCCGAGGGCAGCAACCCGGCCTCCGTGCGGCTATAGCTGCCTCCTCGCGCTGTCCGGGGAGAGAGGGCGGCGCTTTTGCCTTTTACAGGCGAGGAGGCATGAGGCTGGGTACCACGTGCAGGGTCCCAGGGCGCCCCTCAAGGGCCTGGGGAAAATGAATGAGCTGGCGGCTAACCCACTGCGGAGGTTCACATCCCGGCTTCAGCACAGATAACCTAGGAGACAGCAACGCCTGGACTGCTAACGGTGTTTAAGTGACAAGTACATTTTTCAAAAGTGTCTTGAGGGCAGGCTTCCTCTCTTCTAATGTTAGCCATCTAAAAGCAGCCTACGCTGGCTTGCTTTCTTCAGGAAGTAGAATTCAAAGCAGAGCTCGGCACAGATACTTCATTTTCAGGTGGCCACTGTTAGACCGCTGCAGTGATTTCAGTGTGATGGACTTCACCCTAGGTACCTAATTAAGGCTTCATACGCTGGAGTATCTTTTAAAACCTGGTCTTTAGGCTCTTGGTGTCTCAGTTGTCTGTGGAACGAAGATGCTCGTATTTTCTCATTCCATTAATGCTGTGTTTTGAGGATGGGAGTCGCACAGAAAGGCAAGAGGGGGTCTTTGACTGTCTCCAAAGCAATGAGCTGTGAGTCAGCCAGAGCCTCTGAAGACTCTGGTTTGAAAGCAGGAGCTTTTAAATGTACCTCATTAGGGCTGAATCTCCAGCGCTGTCCGTAATCGCACACCAAAGCATACTCATCTCAAAAAGGGCAAATACTGAGAAATTAAGGGAACTAATTAGTGGAATGAGCTATGCTGAGGAGCTGAGGAGGGATTCCAAAACTAGCTGGAACAATAGGATGAATCCTGCTGGGAACAGCTCCAAACCTAGTGGGATAAATACCCAGCTCCAAACACAAGTGGGGAGTTAACCGGGAGCACGCGAGGCTGGGGCAGAAGGTCTGACCAGCAAGAGGGTGCTCTGAGGGCTGAGGGCCTGAGTTTTCATGCAGCCCAGGGTGGACTGAGCAGCTCACCGACCAGATACCACACAGCATCCGGTTCAGGGCCGGGTTCAGCCCAGCAATTCTGGACCTGCTTTATGGGTTGTCCATCATCTGGGCCACAAGGGCGGCCTCAGAGAAGTGTGGTGGGGCACGAGACTGGAGGCAGCGTTTGCTTCAGTCATCCGGCTTTAATTTGCCGAGGCCAGCAAATGTAGAGGTAGAATGAGAAATGTCAAAAGTAAAGTTGCTTTAGACTTTGAAAAGGAAATTAAAGCAGATGGCAGAAAGTTTCAGCTAGATAAATGTAAAAGAAAAGGAGGAAAAATGTGGTCATTATATAGTGAGAATGGGGCGGAGATTGACAATAGTCTACATATGGTCTAAAAATGAATTAAAAACACTGTCTACATTTTCAGTAGAGGCGATCATATTGACTAGCAGGGCAGAGACAGAACTTTTAGTGGGAGCATACATAAGGGAAGGAAAACTATCACGTGGAAGACGGAAGGAAAAGCTTAGAAAATTCGGTGTGCTCAGATCAAGGTGCGCTGGCAGATTTCCATCCCAGGGTTTGGAAAGAACTAGCACATTAAATAGGTTCAGCTTAACCTGATATTTCTCTTTGATGACTGATTTTTCTCTAGACAAATGAACTACAGGTGATTTACTCTATCCAGACTTGAGTGAAGAATCTGATATTATACCACATGGGAAATCACTAGCTGAAGTTGAGAAGACGGGGATTAGCGTGGATGGTGAATGCGGAGCTGCTAAAGCGGAGATGACAAGGAGCTCTGTGGAAAGGGGAAACACTAGCCAGCGAGGCACTTAATAAGTGGAACTCCTCAAGGGTCAGGCTCGAGATCAGTCTTACTTGTTTCATTAATGACTTTGGCACGGCAGTAGGAATGTAGCAAAGCAATCTGCCGAGGACACGGGCATTGTTAATACCTGGGAGGATCAGAGTATCAATCAGCAATAACCGAAGGGCAGAATTTGGCTGAAATAGAATAGACCAAATATAAAGACGGGCACTTAGAAATAACTAGAATATCACATTACTCACTTGAAAATGAAGGTGGGGGGGTTGGAGAAAAAAACCTCAGAGAATTACTTGCTCCCAGGGATAACTGTGAGCCAATCACCAATCTGATATGGGAAGGCAAAAGCAATCCTAGGAGCTACAGGTTCACGCATGTTCAAGGAAGATGAGCAGGTACAGAGAAGGGCACTGAGGCTGATCAGAGGGTTCAGAACAAGAGGAGACTAGAAGAGCTTCATTTGTTTAGTTCCTCAAAACAAAGGCGAGAGGAGATAGGATTGTTTTCAGTAAATACATCTGATAGGTAAAGATCAGAGAAAAAAGAGAAGTGTTTAAACTAAATTATGATGCTGGCACAAGAACAAATGACATTAAGGCTGGAAATTTAAAATGAAGTGCGGGAATAGCCTGCCAAAAAGTGTGATATGAGGTAATTGACTGAAATAATAGTGGTGGACTGGCTCAGTAACGGAGAGGCCAGTGTTCCTGGTTTATGGGTAGGGAGCCGGGAACGCTAAGGAACAGCCCAGAGTAACACCACTGAGATTTTCCCAGCGATGGCACAGCCTGGGAAACGGCCGGAGCTCGTGGCACTTCTGCCAAGCAGAGATCGCCTTCCTCCCAGGAAAGCGAGGGCAACGTGTGGGCTGGGAAGCACTAGCTGTATTGTAGAGACAGGGCCACTAAAACGTATTACTGCGGGGTGGAGCTCTTGCTCTTCACCCCAAAACTTCACCAGCTTTCACCTCCCAAGCCTGAGTCTACCTGGCTGAAGCAAGGTGTCGAGGGACGGCCGTCCCGGCGTCGGCAGCGTCCTGCCGTGCTTCGGGAGCCTCCGTGCCGCTCACCCGCGGCACGGGCAGCAGCGGTGCGCGACGCTCCCTGCTCACAGCGACAAGGGGCAAGACAACATAGCTGGCCAGAGTCGTCAGGTTGGAACATGGAAATGAAAAAATGGGAGGCTGATTCTGAAGCTTTTATTTCACCAGCTAAAAACGAGGTCCTCTTCTCTCCCTCCCCTTATGGGAACTGGCAAACTCAGCTCTTTAATGGTACAAGCTCATCTCAGCCTTGCCTATAAATAGATAAATGAGATTCCTCCTGTCCCAGTGAGTAATTCTGACATCCTTGCGGAGAGCTGAGTCACAGGCACTCTGCACTCCAGGCCCTGCATTACTTACATGGTCTCAAAGGAAATTTTAACACAACCAATGAATCATCAGGGATTGGATCATGTTTAAAGTTATTCCATTGGCATTTCCCTTCTATTGTAGCAAGTCTGCCAACACCTAAAACTTTAGCTAATCTGGACTCAAAATGCATCGAGGAAGTAGCATGTTGACATATACAGCTACTAATAAAAATAATAAAAAAGTCCTTTTAAAGCTCCATCAATAAACAAGTCACCCGTAGCTGATTCCTTTAGCGCTTTGGACCTGCTAATTTTTGTCAGATTGCTTCCTTGTTTCATAGCTGCTTATTTAAAGAATTCAAAGTTTGAAATGTTTTAATATTCAGCCTTTAGCTCCCTAATTTAATCTACTCCAGGTTTCCGGCCAAAACATTTGCAGCGCGCTGAAGCTGCAGCCCCGCGCTCATTCTCTCGCAGAGACACACACATTCCTTCTCTTACCCATGATAAAAATAAAATGCCTGCAAAGCAGAGACAAAACCAGAGCAGTGTAAAGTGCCGGACACAGGGCGGTAATATGCAGGCTCTGCGGGGCCTTTCGCTCCAGCCTGAAGCAGTATCCCCTGATGGGGCATTTTTCACTTGTTACCCTTCCGTCTCCCAGGTGGCCCGGTGTGGTCTGAGCAGCTCCGAGGCAACACAGCATCTGAAAGCAGGGTATGTCTCTCTCTCTCTCTCTCTCAGAAAACATCTGGAAGAGTGGAAAATTCTCCAGCAGAATTTGGGAGCTGTGAAACAAATATAAAAATATTTCTCTCTGTTGGTTTTCTGGCTTGCCTTGCTGTAACGTAGAGCTGGTTGGGACACTTCACGCATTACTACCAGAATGCCCCATTTCAAGGAGCAAGAAATGCTAACACTTGCTGGTTTGCTGTTGGGGGGGTTTCGTATTCTTAGGCCTAAACTTGACATGCTCTTTTGATAACCCCAGGAAACCTGTGTCTTATTTAAATAACATTTTTTCTAGTACTTTTTCATCAAGCAATTTTACTGCCTGCGCATAGATTGTTAACAAGGCTTTGTACAACACATTCCTGCCTGGGCTGCAGCCTCTCCCCGCGATACAGCCTCTCCTCCAGCCTCGCCGGGCTATTTATCAGGCCAGCGCAGTCTTGGTTGCCAGTTTTCTGCCAGCTGTTACTATACAGTAGTATTGGGGGGGGGGGGTTTGAAAAAAAAAACAGTTTAGGCTCTGTCACTCGAATTGGATATAATTTCAGCTACCTGTTGACAAATGATGATTTGTTTAACAGCATCAACTGTGATATTTTTATAGCTGATAGTTTTCACCCTACTCTGCAGCTGGAAAAACCTGAGGAATTCCCAAAAGGTTCCTCGCTTGTGCCCTTCTCGATTTTCTCTTTGCTCCAGAACACGCCATGTAGTGTCTTGGCCTGTTGTCTCTGATGCCGGAAAAGACATCCTTAATGAGCAAATCAGCCACGTCCACGGTGCTGCACTGGGGCAGGCCCATTAACCTGTGCCACTCAGCTTCGTGGTTGGCCTCCTTCCCGCAGCAGAAAGCCCCACCGATGGTCAGCCTGGGGAGATGCTCCAGGACACAGCCGCGGCCCGAAAACAAGCCAGTGCGTCCAGTAAGCG